CTTCTGGATCTCAACCTTAGATCCTATCCATTCACTTGTTCTAATTTCTTTAGTTCTTACACAGCTGCCCACAATGTCGGTTTTACGCTACATTCTTCCTACCCTGGCTTTGGCGCTGGGAGCCATCGCCGATGCGAAGAGCTTCACTTTGGATCTCACCTGGGAGACCGCCTCGCCCGACGGATTCGAGAGGAAGATGATTCTGGTGAACAAGCAGTTCACTGGACCGAGGATTGAGATCACTGAGGGAGATGATGTTACCATCAAGGTCAACAACAACCTGCCCTACGCCACAACCGTTCACTACCACGGTAAGCTTAGACAGATATCTTGGTCCAACGTTCGACTGGTGACTAATATAACTGTAGGTATTGAGCAGTTGAACACCCCCTGGTCTGATGGTGTTCCCGGCCTCACCCAGAAGCCCATCCAGCCCGGCAAGAGCTTCGAGTACAAGTGGAAGGCCACTCAGTATGGTGCCTACTGGTACCACGCCCACTACGAGGGACTCATCGAGGATGGTCTCTACGGAGCCATCACCATCCACCCCGCCGCCTCCCACCAGAAGCCCTTCAGCCAGATCTCCTCTGACAGCGCCGCTATTCACGCCATGGAGCAGGCTGAGAAGAAGGTCGTTCCTCTCCTGCTCGCTGACCACCGCCACATGATCTCCGAGGAGGTTCACGACCTGTCCAAGGCCGCCGACATCCAATTCTCCTGCTACGACTCCTTCCTGTTCAACGGCAAGGGCAGCGTCATCTGCCGTACCCCCGAGCAGATTGATGCTCTTTTGACCCAAGAGCGCAAGGACGTCCTGGCAAACGTTGCTGGTGCCCGCATGACTGACAAGGCGTAAGTCACACCCCCACGCAACCTTCCACAGACACCAGTCTTCTAACACTATCTAGATGCATTCCCGCTGCTGTCATTGCCCGTGGCCAAGGTGATCTGAGCAAGGTTCCCGCCGGCGTCTTTGATGGCTGCCAGCCTAGCGACGGTGGCCTCGAGACTTTCAAGGTCGAGAAGAGTAACTGTGATACTGAGAAGTGGGTTGCCTTTGACCTCGTTGGTGCCTACGGCCTCCACACCGCCATGTTCTCCATCGACAACCACTCCATGTGGGTTTACGCCATGGATGGTGCCTACGTCACTCCCCAGGAAGTTGAGGCTATCCCCGTCGCCAACGGTGACCGCTACTCCGTCCTCGTCAAGTACAAGCAGCAGGGCGACTTCACCATCCGCGCTGCCTCTGTCATTGCCACCCAGATGCTTAGCGGTACTGCCCTCCTCCAGTGGCGTGAGAAGGGCCAGCCCGAGCCCCCCATTGTCGCCTCTACTCCCTGGGTCGCCGACAACGGCAAGCCGACCTCGAAGGATGTCCGTGTCTTCCGCCAGGCTCTCGCCAAGCCCTTCCCTCCCATCGCCATTCCCCAGACTGCCAGCGTGTTGCACAAGTTTGAGATGCGCAGCGAGGGCGGCTCCTACTTCTGGGCTCTGAACGACAACTTCCTCCTCCCCGCTGACTACGAGAACGACTCTCCCGTCCTCTTCGGCGTCCTCGCCGCCGAGAACGACCCCACCGTCGTCTCCACCAAGAACGGCACCTGGGTCGACATGGTCTTCCAGGCCACGGCCCCGCCGCAGCCCCCTCACCCCATCCACAAGCACGGCAACAAGATGTTCCTGCTCGGCTCCGGCACCGGTAACTTCACCTGGAACACCATCGAGGAGGCCGTCGCCGCCAACGGCACCCTCTGGAACTTGGTCGACCCTCCTCGCAGGGATGCCTTCGCGACGCCCAACGCCATCAGCCAGCCTACGTGGATGGCTGTCCGGTACCTCGTCGACAACCCGGGCCCCTGGTTGCTTCACTGCCACATTCAGAACCATATGATGGGCGGCATGTCTGTCATCATCCAGGACGGTATCGATGCCTGGCCCGTCACACCGCAGGAGTACGTCGACTACAACTAAAGGGCACGGTCACAAAAGTCTGGTCACAAGAGTATACCACAAAACGAGTTCCCTGGGGGTCGGTTAATGGTGTAATGGGAAATCTAGAAGGGGGTTTCATGGCGCGGGGCGGCATTTGATTTGCATGGACGGCTAGTTTTGCTACTCTTTTCTTGCGCGGGGCATTTTTGGACAAAATCTCTTATCCTTCCGGACTGTCATATATTCACCACAGATGCAGTAATCATTGAATCGATAATGAACATTTACACCACTTTTTTTGCCCCTGCTTTTGACTTTTTCATTGTTGAATAGAGTCGCTTGCTCACATGGTGTAGCGTGGATATGCTGTGTAACAGTCGCCTCTGTACCGGAGTCTTCTCGATACAACTCCACGATAGCTGCCACAGCATCATGAGCTCATGTCTCGGTCTAGCTCACGGCTACTATATTGCGGCATTGTCCACTTAGAGTGTTCTGCTTCACCGTTTGTTTTTGTCCTGCTCGACGTGATGTCGTGTCACCGTGGCAGCACCACCCTAGAGCATTTTACTCTCACTAAACCCATACCACCCTTCCGAGCGCTTGAATAGGGTAAAGCGAGGGGGCGAACAAGGCTACACGGTAGACCTCATCGCACATCAGTTGTTGGTCGATCAGCGCGTTAGTAGGTGCTCTAACTCGTACGTGTACATACACATGCTATGCAATGTGTATGCAATGCGCCTTTGGAGTGTGCCAATCTCACTCATTGCGCAAAAGAACGATTTCGCCTCCTTGCCGCTTCTTCCTTCTGCTCCTCGATTTCATGTCTCCTATTCTTCGCTCGGTGATGAACCTCGTTGCGCCGTGTCCGGGGACATTAGCATGTCTCGGCTTTGGGCTTAGCGGATCTGACATGTCTCTCGTTTAGACATGGATATTGGTACAAATTGGGCTAAACATGACAGCACCACAGACATTCGGGGTTAGGGGCACTTGCGACGGACTCTTTCGTCCGAGTTCCTTCTTCAGGTGGATGAGTGGTTCACTGGGCTGATGGCCGTGGCGCTTTTTGGGCGGGTTCTGCGCTGATAAGAGACATCGCTGTGCGAACGAGAGATCAGGGGCGAACAGGAGAGAAAAGAAAGTGTGGGGGTGGCTGTCTAAGACAGTCAGGATAGACGAGTGACAGGTTGAGTTCTGTGAGATAGAGGTGCATGAGATGCTATGCACTCTGCATAGCCTCCGCTTGGCTATCATTTGCGTGCTTCGAATCACGTATTGGTTTTCTTCTGGTGCAAGAGACAAAATGCGCCTCCAGATCAGGTAAATGTGCATCTAGGGGATGAGACGGGGGGAACGTCTTTTGTACGATGGCGCCGGGAATAAAACGGCAACGCTTATTGGCGTAGAGCCGTTTGTTGGCGTTCGTATTCGAGACTTAGAGCCTCACAGATGCTTGGTGCCGAGCCGGCGGCTGTCTTTGGTCACTGGCCAGGAGATGGCCTCCGCTACTTGGCGTTGGAGCGACCGTAAGCAATCTTGCTTTCCTGCGGAGTCGTGTTCACTTGGGCGACGGGGATTCACCTTAGCTCCATGTGGTGCTGTGTACAAGACGCGGTGTCATGTAATTTCTAGTTAACGCTTGCAACTGTCGCTGCTGCTGAGGTGATCTCGGCAGAGCGGCACGGGCTTGATGGTGGTTCATTGTTGATGAGGCCGGTCGGCTATCTAATCTGGAGGTGAAGTAGTCTTCCATTAGAAACAGGGCTTGCTCCGTTGCCTCATGGGGAATTGATGTTGCCTTGCCAACGTCTTGTCATCTTGATTGGCAGCCTTGTTTGGTAAAAGGGATGGTCTGGTCGAACTACACCAGTCTACCGGGAAATGTTTTGTTGCTAACCCAACAGGCACTTCTTTGTTCCCCTCGATAGCTCTTATAATAACATAACAATGACGTGGTGTGTGAAATTAACCTAGCCCAGCTCAGTCCCATCATCTCCTGTCGCACAAGGCAGTAAGGTGCTAATGTAAATTGAAGACTACTGTATCCCGCTCCGACAGGCCCCTTCTGCCGAGCTGCCCGATCCGGGTGGATCCGTGAACTCGGCAACAAGCCGAGAGTGGGGGCCATATTTGCCGGGCTTCGGCGGCTGGACAGTTGATTACTTCGGAGAGAAAGATGTCCAATGCCTGTCTACTAACATAGTAGCGCGCCCAGAAGTTTCTCTACATTAAAATAGCTATTGTAGGTAGTATTGAGATTACAGTTCTTCGTACACGGCGCACGCTTCATAATCCAGCACGCCTCGCGCTCTCCGCAGCCCTCGGGAACCGGTTTCCGCAGTCGCTGATCGGAGTCGACGTTGGCATTACCTACTTAAAAGCCAACACGAGTTGCACAGCCATGCGAAGTAGACAGAATTTTCTCCGGAGGTGATGCACTACCATGGAACTCGAATTTGAGCACAGATCATACCACCCAAGCTTGCTTCGCCATCTATGAAACCTACCAAAAGATGGTTAAGAAGGGTGCTGCTCTCCTTTTCTGCCTTGACTAACAGTATCCTACTCATAGTGGGGTCGCCAAGGTCGGGATATTTTCTCCCAAAGTGGTTAGTAAGGACTTTACACATGCCTCAAGGTTGCTCAATAGGATATCCTGCAAACAAGAATTAGAAATCTTCCCTGCCTAGACGTCCTGGGGTTGCGTCTATAGTAGTGATCGTCGTCATGTTCTGTAGAAAAAGTTGTTCTCAAGCAACCCGACTCTCTACGGTCTTAGAAGTTGTATGGGAAACGATTCAAAGGCTGACAGAAAATTTGACTTGTCACGTAGTATCCATAGTGCGGGATCTACGTTGAATCTGTAGAGATGGCTGGGCATGAAGATAATGAAGAGCTTAACAGAAATTAGCTCCCGTCGGATGCTCTTTGGATCCGTAGGGCTGAAAAAGCATTCTGCTTGTCTCCATTCGGACCGCGCGCGCGCACGAGTCAACTCACACTGCCGTGCCGGGGCATACCCATGGATGCGGGGCCTCTTCGGTCCCAGCCGTAGTATCGCGAAGAAATGAGATGACATGCGCTGACGTGCTGCGGATTTTGAATCCGTAAAGTCCTCTGCATTTGTAAGTTGTGAAAGGCAAATTGGTAGACCAAGAGGTCAGGATATAAGCTTCACAATATCCCTAGTTAGAAAGGAAAACCTCTAGATACCATCTCCAACAAGTGACTTTCGTTGACAATACTACAAAACTGTCATTACCATGTCCGGACTTCTCACCCTCGTTCTGCCTTTGCTGGCCTTGCCAGCCATCCAAGCTTGCCCGACAAAGTATCATAACACTACCACGGCCTGCGCTCAGGTGACTGGGAACCAGACCGTCAACTCGTTCCAGCTGTACCCCGAGAACGCAGACTTCGACACCAAGCGCTGTGTGGCCTACTTCAGGTAAGGTTTTCCACTACATACATACCGAGAGACCTGTCAGATCGACGGGAAAAGTGCCGGAAGCTAATCCCTAGCAGTGTCCTCTACAACGCCAGTGTCGCTGCCTGGAACCCTACCACGTCCGACATCCAGACCATCGAGATCCCAGGCCTGAGCTTCAACCCCGAACTGCACTCCAGCGGCGTCCGCGTCGATCCCCTCGACCGCCTCTCCATCATCATCGACGCCGGCTCCGCCTTCGACACGGGCGGCCAGAACATCACAGGCGACAACATCCTCATCAAGTACGACCTCACCAAGAAGCAGGTGTTGTGGCAGCGCAACCTGACCGAGGTCACTGGCGGCGTATACGGCGGCTTCCAGGACACGGCTCACGGCCCCGACGGTACCACGTACGCCCTTGGCACTTTCCCCAGCAGCATCATCCGCGTCAGCCCCGACGGCTCCGAGGCTGTTGCGTGGTACCTCAAGACGCCCGCTAATCACTCCATCCACGGACTCTCCGGGCTCGTCTCCTCACCCGACGGGAGGGCGCTTCTCGTTGCCGATAGCTCGGACGGCCAGCTCTACCGCTTCGACACCGCTAACGCTACGGCCTCAACGCCGGTTCGGGTCCCTCTTACTTCGGCAGACAACATCGGCGCGGCGCTCGACGGCGTTTCGATCCCCTCCCGCTACAACGGCACCGTGATCCTCGTCTCTGATAACGAAAAGGGAACCGTGGTCCTGCACTCAGCCGATGCTAAGTGGGAGTCTGCTGCTGTCATCGGAACAGTGCCCAACGCATACCTGGCAGATGGAGGGTCGACGGTGACGACTGTGCAGATTGGCGGCAGCGTCTACTCTGTGACTGAGTACTTTGGGGACGCCAAGGTCGCGGGAACGCTGGCTGGCAACCGAACGGAGTGGCCGTTGGTTGATATCACCGCCAACATCAATGGGTTCCTTGCTGGTCAGTAAGGGAGAAAGAAAGCTGGAAAGTAACTGTCCTTACCGAATGAGATAGATGCTACAGCTGCAGTGATTACGATAGATTCATAGACCTTAAAGATGTTGGAAGCGACGTCGTCACCTGTCATGTAAACTCTTCCATTTTTCTACACATTCATCGAAGCGTTGACACCTCCCTGGCACGCGTAGATATCGTCAGGATGCCAGTCTCCTTCAATTTGGATCTCGAATACGCCCCAGAGGCTTCATGCCTTTGACAGACTTGAACCGGTCTAGCGTGATGGCAGTGGTAGCTGTAAATCAATTCCGGAAGTGAGAGTCGATGTGCATACAATTGCTGACCCAGGAGACTGGTTTGACAGCTCATGATTAGATTAAATCTCTCTACTCATGCTATGCTAGGAATCCTTCAATCCTCAATCACATTGCTGACCACCATTCTAGGGATTGGCAGGCACCAGTATTCGTGCTTACACTGACAGGGATGGCTCCCATGGGATCCGCTAGCTCGACGCCCGTCAGCACTTGACGAGAATACAAAGGAATAGTACAATCAGGGGGGAATTCCAGCACAAGTGCTTCCTTCGACCGCGAAACCAGATAAGTTGGATGCACCCGTTGCCCCAGGCATTGGAAACCATCATCTCGATCCACGTTGCTTCTCCGACGATCCTCGTGTTCGTGCCAAATACTCGCCAAGGATGGAATCTCCGAGCAAGCGCGTCGCCGTGATCGGCGCAGGTAGAGAAACTCCCCTCATCAACGTAGTAAGACGCTAAAGAACGCCCAGGCCCCAGCGGTCTCGTCGCTATCAAAGAATGCCTCGCAGCGGGCCTAGAAGTGCAGTGCTTCGAGCGCGCGCCCGCGCTGGGCGGGCTCTGGCTCTACAACCCGGATCCGAGTGCCGAGACGAGCTCCGGCATGTACCCCGGCGTCATGCTCAACTCCTGCCGGTTGACCACGGGGTACAGTGATTTCCCGATTGATCCGGCAAGGTACCCAATCTATTACTCCCACAAGCTCCACCTGCGGTACTTGAACGAGTATGCGGCGCACTTTGCCCTCAAGAAGCACATTCGCTACGAGACGACGGTCGTTGGATGCGAGCCTCGCAAGGAGGGCGGCTGGGAGGTCAGGGTCCGTAGTGGAAGCGAGAAGGATGGCAACGGGGAGGAAGTGCTCACATTTGATGCTCTGATATGCGGAACTGGCATCATCAGCAAGCCCTTCATCCCTGAATACAAGGGAAGAGAGTCTTTCAAGGGCGAAGTGCTACATAGTCGTTCCTATCGCAAGCCGAGCGCCTACGAGGGCAAGAAGGTCATTCTTGTCGGTCTTGGATCCTCGGCCATCGACGTCGCGTGTGAAGTTGGGCCGCTGGCAAAAGAGCTCACAATCGTCAACCGTCGAGGTGCTTGGGTCCTGCCTCGATTCGTCCTGGGTAGACCCACAGAGGCGTGGGACAGTACGTCTTTCTTTCTATATCTCAAACTCATGATGGGATCCTCTGCTGACCCAATCTTACAGGCCGTAGCAGCCAGATATGGCTTCCCGCAAGCGTCCAGGAATGGCTCTTTGAGAAGATACTCAACCATGCCCAAGGCAAGATGCCACCAGAGCTTCAGCCAGACCATGGCCTCATGGCACAAAACGCCACCATCCGAAGCGACTTCATCGAGAAGCTACAAACCGGTATTTTCTCCCTTCGTCGCACCACGATCGCCTCCTTCACCGAGACTGGCGTCATCCTTGAGAATGGTGATTCCCTCGACGCCGACGTCGTCATTCTCGCTACCGGATACCATATCGTCGACCAGCCATACCTTCCTCCAGGCGCGTTAGCGAGCAAGGAGGCGCCGGCCCCGCATGTCGACTTGTACAAGTCCATCGTACCGCCCACTTGGAAAGACCTGTATGTTATGGGCCAGACTGAGCAAGCCGGACCCGTGACGCCCGTCTCCGAGGCGCAAGCCCGATACATTGCCGCCGTCATCAAGGGAAGCGTGAATTTGCCTGGTGAGGAGGAAATGATGCGGGAGATACGTACGATGAGGGGTTGGCGAAAGAAGCACATGATCGACTCGGATAGGCACGCCTTGAATGTCGAGTTTGTGAAGTATATGGACGGTCTGTTGGCACCATTGGGCGCGGCACCGACTTTCGGGAAGCTGTTCGGACGCATCTTCACCAGCGGAAAGCCGTTGCGGGCTTGGAGTATTCTTTCGGCTGTTTACTTTGGCATCCCGGCCCCCGCTCAATGGAGATTATTTGGTGAAGGAAGTACACCGGTGTTGGCTGAGGAGACGCTGCTCAGGACTGACGTGAATGCAAGTCAATTAAGCGAAGGGGAGAAGTCTTTCTTTTGAGAAGTTTTCTATCTTGGTTCCAGTACCTCTTAAAACTATTGATTGCGCAAGTTTTCAATGGGATACTCCCTGGATGAATCAGGATTTGCTAGTGGTGCGGCACGTCAAACGCTGGACTAGCGTAAGGTATCTGACCATCTTACTGTTCTGAAGAAGGCTCGGCAAATGATCGAGCCTCATAGTCAAATATACACGTTTTCAATCTCTTTCTGAGTCCAATCCCACAGCTTGAGTGCAATGTTATTGTCCTTCGCGAAAGCACTGCCATTGCCAGCGACGCCCACGGGCTCGTAGTACTCGCCATTTTCAACCCCATGGGCAGTGGCAGCCCACAGCTGGCTCCTCGCGCCCTCCTCCACGTCGACTCCGATAAGTGGAACGACCACTTTCTGAAATGCTCTGATAAGAAGACTACCGTCCGTCGACTTTTGCAAGTCGGTTTTGACTGTGCCCGGGTGAATGGAGACGGTCGTCCATTCGGGGTGCCTCTTGGCCATCTCCCGTGCGTACAGCAGGTTGGCGAGCTTGCTTTGTCCGTAGAGAGCATTCGCCGAAAGAATTTCACTTTGGCCCTTTGGGTGGAAACTGTCGAACTGCAGACCGCCAGAAGGGGGGTACTTGTGAGCCACGGAGCTGACGAAGACGACGCGGACATCGGCTTTTCCGCTGCCAACGTTACCCTCGGAGGCTGTTGTCTGCAAGATGGGAATCAGAAGCTTGACGAACAAAGCGTGACCAACATGATTGGTCCCGAAATGCATCTCGTAGCCTTCCTGTGTCACGCTTCCAGCAGGCACGTTCATGACGCCCGCGTTAAGGATGAGGATGTCGAGACGGTATGCCGCCGCGAGGAATGTGATTGCGGCACTGCTGGCATTAGGATGAGGCCATGGGACACTCCTGGAAACCCGCATCTTTATAGATATAATCGCAAGAGTCGATTTCTTTTGGATCCTTTCTTTCATTGCGAATATGATGCTTTGGTCCATCGGGGATCTGGGGCAACACGCAAAGAAGCTCAGGCCGAATGTCCGACAGCCAATAGGATGACACGCTTTGCGAGCGGGCAAATCGCAACTCCAAGCTTAACACCGGTAGCGCGAGATAGGCAAAGTAACACCGCCTCGTTCTCGAGCTCCTTTTTGTTTACTTATGTATATTCTAGCTGTAAAAATGGCCTCTAAAGTGGGAAGTGGTGCCGAAGAGAGACACCGGCGGTAAGAGTGGCACCGGCGAGAAGAGTGGCAGCTGCCCATGAGAGCTTCATCTGGGTAAGTTGGTCAACTTAGGCCGAGAATTCACGGGAGCTTCAAGACTTCCTGGCTAGAGCTTTTATTTGACACTTCTTCTTCAACGCGAATAGTTTACTTAGGACAAAGAAGCCGATCGAATGCCCATAGAGAACGTAGGCAAAATCAACAGTTTCAGACCGCCAAGTCCAATCCTATTCGAAGCATAGAGCTTCTAGAGGTCTAGTACAACGTGCCTTCGCACAATGTATGGTTACTCATTGTCATACAATTATTTCAAGATGTTTTCCTCCATCCAAGGTACTCCCGCAAACGCCCACTTCCGGGCTTTCGTGTCGTAGACCTTCTTGAAAGGTTTCAGCGTACCGTCTGGACATCTCATTGTACCCGAGAAAGCCAATTCTCCTAGAGAATCGTCTGGTAATTGCAACCGAACATGAAACAATCTGCGATCATTCGGCATTGTCGGTGGAGTAGGTTGTTCTTCAGCGAGGCCTTTGGACTCCAAGAGCTGGTTGCTAAAGGAGACCTTCTCGAAGAAGTCCCCTTCCTCCATTCTCATTACTTCGGAAACCACGGCCCCCGTAAGAGTCGCGTCCCACATCCCTTCCTGGTGCAAGCCATTAGAGATGAGCTCGATAGCTTGTCTTCGGGTGCTTGGTTTGCGACATTTCAGGGCAACGTAGTAAAGTGGTGGTATAAGACCCATGTCGGCAGTGAAGCTAAACTTGGTTGTACAGTGCCCAGACGAGAGATCTGCCGCTATGGTGGGTATTGCCGCGGTAATGATTTCCTTGGATGACTCCGCCATCATGTCGAAATGCCAGATGAATTTATCGAAGACGAGCTCATCGCCCGGGTGAAGAGATGTCTCCGTGATGATATGTGCCATTGTGTGATAGACAGGTAGGAGGCGAAAAGGCAGACTCTCTCGGGTGGATAGATGAGTCCACCTCTTGGCTTTCAGAGAGTTGAACGTGCGCGACCATGATATCAAGTCATTCCTTAGACATGACTGGATCACAAGCATCTCGAACGCTTGAGACACGTCGGGGCTTGTCGCACTCGCTAGGCTACATCGTTGTAGCCGCTGAGCCCTGACTAAGAGTTGGTCTAGATGATTCCGGGCTTCAATTAGTGACCCGAAAGAGTTGGGGAGCTGTCCTAAGGGACGCAGTCCACCACTCTGCCTTTCCTGGTTGAAGGGGCCCTTCAATGATCTCGCTTGATAGCAGAGTTGTGAGAGTGTGTCAACAAGGCATTCAGCCATGGGATCTAATGCCTTGTTGCATCGGGCATCGCCGATAATGTCTTCCGACTTGAGATCAGGTATGATGTGACTTAATAAGTTCAAGCCGTGGTTCAAATGAGAATGACCTGCCTTGAATCTCTTACGCATGTATTCTAGGCATATGTAGAGAATGCAAGAAATCAGAGCCACTTGTGCCGACACGGTGTTGTTCAAGGCAAGACGTTCACGGAGAAGGACTATTGACTTGTTGTAATGCTGTAGAGTGCTGCGTTCCTGGACGTCCAAGGAAGAGGAAACTCTCCGAGACGGCACGGAGCCGGCATCGGTCATTTGGTTCTTGTGGACAGAGGCAAGTGCCAGTATTGCATGCATTACGGCCGGCTCTCTCGAGCTCGTTTGGAGAACAATGGTGCCCCAGAAGGCGGAGTCGAATATCCCTGCCAGCTTGGCGATTGTCCGGCGTGAAAACCACTGGTAGAGCCTCTTGTCAGCATCCGACAGCCCCGAAACGGAGGTGCGGATGTTGCGAAGTGAGATAGATGATGCCTGTTGCGACAAGAATGGGGCTGGACTTTGGGTTCTGGAACTCCAAATGCCGTACTCATCACAGGTCCTGCCTATGGTGACACAGCGTCGACAAGCTGGCCGGGTTTCATCACACTTTACTTTCCGGATCCTGTTTTTCAGCGTTAGCAAGAATATTTTCTCATAAGAATACAACACGAAATGATTTGAGCGCACCTGCAGGTCCTGCAGCCGGTCTTGACTCGGATAGTTGCGTGGGACTTCGAGTTGTTGGCGGATTTTGAAGGCCGCGGCCGGGATTCAACTCCATCCATGTCGACAGGCCACCAGCGAGTCTCTCCAAGGAACGAGGGGTGCGAATGAAGTCAGCGCCATATGAATTTTGGACTCTCCACTTGATTGGTATTAGGGAGTTGTATCGGTGTCTGTTTCCTCAACAAGGAGAGCCACTGAGAGAATATGGCGAGCTGTGAAATCACGGCGAGTCTTGAAAGTTGCTGGAGACTCGAGTGGTATCGTCGACTCCGGCCCTCCGGCTGTCGCTCATGGTTCGTCGGATCGCAATTCCATGTCTTTCATTGGTTCACAGAGAAGAAAGTCCGTGCAAAATGGCATCGAAGGTCGAAATAGGAAATAGCTTCAACCAAGGTTTCGGGCCATGTCTTTAAGTTGAGCGGCAATCTCAATGCGTCAATCCACATGTTCCTCGAGCAATATCGATGCGTAGGACGGTTAACATGAGTGATTTATCGGTTCCACGGTTTAATCTGTGTGCATTAGGTAAGTCATGAGCCATCTGTTGTCATCTCAAGTCTTGGAGGGGAAGGCAGGATTAGCCCATGGTTCCCGAGGGATGAGTCAAGTGATTAGGATTAATTATAGCTATCACTCAGGCTTCTGCTTAAAAGTCACTCTAGTCATCTCCGCAAGAATGCCGTCCACCAATTCATCCAGCGCTTCTATCATACCTTCGAAATAAGCACAACACGGCTGTCGTAGTCACCATCAAAAGCGTACTGTACACCATTGCTCATCAGCGTAGCACCAGAGTAGGTGCCGTTGTTATCCAAAGAGTACTTGGCCGTCGGGTCCAGTCCTTGGAGTCGAAGCCGCGGCAGGGCATGGTTGTACAGCGCCCGCACCTGGAAGTAGAACAGCACACCCTGCGACCCGTCCTCCGAGATGACCATGGCAGCCGGCCAGTTGGACTCCTCTGGCAGACTGAGACGCCACAAGTCGCCTCCAATCACAATAGGATTGACCACCTCGCCCAAGGCCAGCAGCTCGGGGATCTGCACCTTATCCTCGGCGGAGATCACGGCCGGGTTCAGCTCGAGCCCGAAGGATCCACCCATCATGGCGACGTGAGCACGGAACTTGATGGGAATCGTGCGACCAGTGAGGTGGTTGGGCACCGCGGAGACGTGGGCTCCCATAGCGGAAAGAGGGTACGCCAGGGAAGTTCCGAACTGAATGGAGATGCGGTCCAAGGCGTCGGTGTTGTCAGATGTCCAGATTTGAGGGAAGTAGTGAAGGACGCCGGGGTCGAAGCGGCCGCCTCCGGATGCGCAACCTTCCCACAGCACATCTGGGAATCGCGAGGTGAGGACCTCAAAGACGTGGTAGATGCCCAACATGTACGAGTGTCCGATGCCTGGGACGGGGGTCTCGTGGAAGCCTCTGTTATTGTCCCACTTGACGTAAGAGATGGGGGCGCTGGAGAGGATCTTGGAGACGGAGTCAATGATGAATTCCTGCACCTCTGGGAGCGCCACGTTAAGCACAAGCTGGTTTCGCCTGATCGTTCGAGGGTAGTTGCCGGCGTGGAGAGCCCAGTCAGGGTGCTCATGGTAAAGAGTAGAGTTGGGGTTGACCATCTCTGGCTCAAACCAAAGACCGAACTGAAGCTTATCTGTCGTGTTGGTGACCTCGAGATTGGTGACCTTGTTGACGAGAGCTGGGAGTCCATCAGGGAAGCGCTGCGCATTGACTTCCCAGTCGCCAAGGCCGGCTGTGTCGTTCAGACGGGGGTACTCTTCGCCAAACCATCCGTCGTCCAGCACGAAGAGCTTGACGCCGAGTTGCGCCGCTTCTTGTGCCAGGTCGTAGACGGTACTCTCGTTGTAGTCAAAGTAGAGACCCTCCCAGCTGTTGAGCAATGCGGGACGAGTCTGGTCGACGAACTGACCCCTCATGAGGTGGTTGCGATAGAGTCGGTGGAACTTCCGGGACACGCCACCTACACCGGCATCTGAGTATACAGCGACAACCTCGGGAGTAGTGAGAGTCTCTCCCGGTCCAAGAGGCCACGAGAGTTGATATGGGTTGAAGCCAAGCATTGCACGGGTGAACCCCTGGGATCCTTTTTCTACGTCAACGGAAAACGAGCCGGTGTAGACAAGAGAGAATCCCCAGGCCTCGCCTTGGGACTCGGTAGTGTCTGGAGAGACGAGAGCCAAGAATGGGTTGTGAAGATGGGATGAGTACCCAGTCGTACTTCCGAAGCTACGTGGCGTTGAGGTCAGTCAACTGTCCTTTAAGGGCTCAGTAGCAGTCATTCTTCACTCACCCTTGCGTGCCATAGCCAACCTTCCTCCGGACTCTCATGGCTTCGCGGGCCCAGTCACCTCTCAATTCGATCATCTCAAGGTCTTCAAATGGCAGATCAACGCTGAGACTTGCCGCCTTAGCGATAGTGATGTTGCCCTCCCCCTCGTTGGTGATGTTGACGCTTCGCACAATGGCATCATACTTGGGGAAGATTGAGTACGAAAGATCGACGGCAATGGAGCTGTAGTTGTCGTAGAGAGAAACGACCAATGTAGAGACCTCGTTATCGGTTCCAAATGTTGCCGGGAGACCCGGCAAGCCAGGCTTTCCGGCCGTGACTCTGTGGGATCGATATTGGAGGTCGCTGACCGTGTATCCCTCAGACTGGTGAATTTGTACTGCGGGGACACGGAAGTCTCCACGTCCAAGGTCGGGGTATTCTCGTCTAACCCGGCCGATCATGTCAACCCAGCCATTGATTTCCGGGGCGAGCATTTCCATGCTCTCCGTAGCCGACCCTCCGAAGTGGTCAGACAAGAGGTCACCCGTCAGCTCATCCACATGGAAGCGGTATGAGGAGTGGTCGCCATTGAGGGCGAAGGACTTGCCATCAACGACAATACCTTCGTGATGTCAGTCTCGCACATGGAGAATCCCAGTATGCCATCTTCCTACCTGCGGCTGAGCCATTTTGTGCCAACACGCGACCAGTGAAAACTGATGCGGAGGCAGCAACGGCTAGATGTCTCAACGAGAGGCCCATCGTTCCGTGTGAGGATGAGAACCAAGGACGAAGGGAGTTGGGAGGAGTTTGATGTCGGAGCAGGATGGTTATCGACCCTTCTACAGCGATGAAGAGGTTTCGCGGTGAAAACACCCGATATTTATACAATCTTCCTTTCACCTTGCATATGCGGCCTCTCCGGGTTCGCCGGTCATCTTCGCGATGCGCCGGCTCACCCAGCAGGCCACGAACCTTAGCTTCGTCAGAATTATCGGCCGTTCCCCAGAGATCAGCAAGGAGGAAATCCACCGCTAGTCCAATAACCATAAGCCAACGGGGAAGTGATCAACATGCGGGGTAGTTCCCCACGAGTTTTCCGCCTGTTTTCCGCCGCTTAATTGCACCGTCAGAGAGAGTGGATGTAACGTCCTGCACGACAAACGACTTTTCCAACCCGGCTGTTCTAGCAGCGAACATGATCCGATTGCAACCTAAAAAAACTCGGAGATGAGGGGTAGCTTGTTCTTGGCATCAAACAAAGCAAAAGAGAGCGAAACATTCTGGGGATTGGGGAAATTTGGGTGGGCGTAGCATCCGGGGAAAACCTTGGTTGGTTGTGGCGTGAGAGCCAATGATGACATACATCGTGCATAAGGTATTTGGATGTAAATGGCTCAACACACACTTGGGATGGAAATTTTCCGTGGATAACACCAATCGGTTGAGGTAAGTAGGAGAAGAGGTGAAAGTTTGCTACAGAGTCTGCTTCTGCCGTCAGAACGATACTTGAACGAATCTACCAACTGTACAAGAGCTGTATGATGGCGAGCACCAAAGACCCTAATTGGGTCTCGGTGTGGTAGTCGCGTCCGTCGGGGAACGTTGATTAGGAACCATGTTTGCCTCTACCCTCCACCAACATAACTCTACTGGCTAGCGACAATTCTCTCATGATAAGCAGTAATACCTGCGAGCGTCGCCGCGGGACCAACGACGGCTGAACCCAGAATCACTGCTGCGGCCTGAGCCAAGGCTTGCTTCGTGTTGATGTAGCCGCAAAGTCGCACACTCCACGGCGCCATGCCGAGCGCAAGAAGCAGCGGACAGAGCGTGAATATCAGAATATCCAGCTTCGGCAGACTCAGAGCCAGCAAGGCCGCGTTTTCACCACCGAACAAGCTGTGCTTCACACCGAAGAGAGCGATGTTGGTGAGATAGATGGCTGCGGAGATTGCCAGGGTCAAGTAGTAGACAAGGCTAAGAACCGGGAGATCTGCCTTGGCGAACATATTTTGATACTTTCTTCTCGTGCTCTGCAGCTCGGATTCTTCGTTCTCAGGTTGCTGCGATCAGGACTGCATTCCAAACACGGAGAGACTCCTCGCCAACATGAAGCATAGTATTGGCGCATTGCGCCAGACATTGATTGAGTTTGCGTCCTGACGATACAGTGCGACGGCGACGGGTAGGATATACCCCGCGGCCGTGATGGGCAACACTCCCTTGGCGTTTTCGAGGGAAAGGTGTGCGAGAGCGATTAGCGCTGCAGTGTTGGTCATGAACTCGACAGCCGGCAAAATGGACGCATCTCCACGCCTGGAAGAACACAGGACGTCGACCAGCTCCTCGACGCTTCTGGGCAGACGCAAGATCCCTGCCGCGATGACAAAGAGCGCACACATGAAAGCGACAGGAGAGAGCTTGTTCAGACTGCCCAAGCCCTTGAGTGATTTTGCTGGCAACTCGTCCTCGAATAACACCGCTCTGGGACGATGGGGCACTTCTAGTCTCTCTAGCTTCGTTACTGGGCATAGAACTCGACGACTCGGTAGACAACTCCGAAGGAGCCTAGCAAAGGCATCATATAATATGCAATAATCTTTTCTGTGGTGGTTCGTATGGTGGAGGCATCCTGAAGCTAGTAACCTTGCTTGACAATGTGTTGAGCATGTCCCTATTGAAACGAGCACCAAAGTTCAGCTTCTAGTTTCGTCTCGAGGCCTCCCAGATCTTCATTGAGTATGTTTTGTCGCTTACAAAGTGCTTTCCCTGCAATTCAGCAAAGACGCTCTCCAGCTGCTTCTCACTAAGACCCTTCAGGGTTTGGTCAAGGTTGCGCAACAAGACGTTGACCAGATGTGCAACTGATTCGATTGCTCCATTACCACCTTGGCCCGTCAACGGATCGACCTCTTGGGATCATCTCAATCAGCGACTGTGCCGCCGAATTACTTCTCCTCAATAGCATTTACGCCCTGGTTACTAACCTTGTGTGCAGGATTTCCAATGGTGATGGCTCTCTTGTATTGCTACTTTTCAAAGACACATGTTTGGAGTGGTGCGAGCGTCATTGCGATACGTCTCTCGTAAAGGTCACCAAGTGTCATGTTTTCCAGTATACGGTCGTCCCAGTGTTGCTTTATAATACTCCTCCTCGTCGGCCTTGGTATACTTGTGGGAAGAGATCATTCCCAGTCTTCTAGACTTGCAAATCATGACATGCCTCGGAATATCTCTTCCGTAGAGAGTCTTCAACTCCTTGAACAAAAACCAGTACACGCGGTCTCCTGGAGCCGCCATTACAAAATAGCTGTGACCAGGGGACATTGTGTTGTGCTGACTAGCTCCGTGGCATACGCCGGGTCTGTGGGAGATACCAAAGACACACAGAGCCGAGGCGGGGACCTTTGATTCCTCGTCCAAGGGGGAAATATCCGGTTGGCGCTTCCCGCCACATCTCCTTCCTGACCGTGCTGCGGATTCCATCAGCTCCGACGACAATGTCCCCGCCAAAGACCTTGCTATCTTTGGTAGTGACATGAGCACGAGAATCGGTAAAGTCTACGGATACAACTCGTTCAGAGCTGAGCACTCTATCTTTGTGCTTCAAGTTCTCGTACAGAACTTGAATAAGCATCTGCCGGTCGATACAGATCATCGGATGTCCTAGCCTGTTCTCTTGTCAGTTGTGATTCCTACAAACTCACAAGCCACATACATTTTCTCCCACGTATCCATCAGATTATGTTGATAGTCGAGAATCTCACCATTCTCCCGTCTGAGATAGAAGTGCTGGGACACTGAGTCCTCAGCTTTCGCCCGATACGCCTCATAAGTCGTAACAGCCAAGCTGGTCGAGAATCCGCAAGCCGTAGGGCAATAGTCCAGTACTAGCTCCAACCTGAGGTGCAATCTCCGGATAGGCTTTGAGAACAACATCATCAATGTTGAACTTCTCTAGCATATTGGCGAGCGCCAAGCCAGCGACGCTACCGCCAACAATAACGACCTTGAAGGTCACGGTTGAGCGCGTAAGGTTTAGCGTAAGACCTGGGTTTGAGAGTGCTAGTATATCAAAGCTGTTGGTTTAGAGAGTGACGGATCTATGGAATACTCAATATTTCGACTAAGAGGTTACGAGCCAACTTGTCGAAATTATGTTACTTAGGACATTACTCGATAAAGGGCGAGAACGCACGATTCGAGCAATGCCTATGTCCGATGTAAACGGCAATGCTATCCTGTGCGGTATCTAAGACAATAGAGATGACGCTAGCCTCTCAAAGCGCCGTGATGAGTGTCGAATGCCCATTAAAGTGGGGGCGAGCACGAGTAATGGAATGCAGTAGACTTGGCGACGGATTGCAAGCGGGGCCCGATAAACCTTGGGCTGCACGTTAAACACGCTCCGGCAAACTCCATCGGTTCGATGTCTGACCGTGGGATTGGAAGTTTTAGCCTCATAACGCTATGCTCTGTCAGGTACCCGCCATTAAACCCGCCTCCGGCGTAATAGTAAGATCCGCTTGACATCTATTGCGTTATAGGATTCATAATCAGTAATCATACATCTACAAATCAGCACGTATATCAATATGTATATATCTTCCCTCACTTTGGAGCGAAGTTAAATGGGTACTCCATAAATCAACCTCCTCACTCTACATATCACCTCCTCTACACGTCACCTCACTCTTCGAAATTGCGGTCAATTAGCTTTTGACGGGGAAAAGCAGCTAGATTGCCTCATCACGGACATTTATCAAGAAGACAGGATGTCTTTGGGTAGTGACTATGCCGCTATTCAGCGCCTAATCTACCGTCATGGCCATATTTTCGACTATGGCAAATGGGAAGAATATTTGCAACTGTACCGCCACGCCGAGTGGTACAACCCTGGCGCTCCTCCTCTGAGTGCTCAGGGACTTCTCGACAACTTTCGACGCATGATTGTTATGCATGATGGCTCGCCAAGAACCCATCACTTGATGCATAACCCTCTAATCGATGTTGCACCAGACGGGCGTACTGCGAGCGCTACGACTACCGTACAGGTGCTCCAGAGTGTGCCGCCGGCATTCCCTATGCAAACCATCCTTGTCGGCCATTATAAAGACGAATTTGCGAAGGATGAGGGGGGAGAATGGCACTTTACAAAGCGTGAAACCCACCCGATCTTTTGGGGTGATGTCAGTCAACATGCCAAGGCCACTTCTGGGGGTTATGGACTAGACCAGTAGGCATGGTACGATGGGTTGATGCGAGTTTCTTGAGTCCTGTAATTTGTCGAGAGAGATAAAATGGATTCATTTTATGGGTATAGAAAAGATTGGCAAATGACTCCTTGGATGTACAAGCAAAATTTATATCAGTCTCAGCCCTCTTGCCTTGATACTTCTCTTACGTCACGGAAAGTTGATATGGTTCTCGGGACAGTGGAAGACTGCCGCCGTTCGAGCTGGCTCTTCGAAGATGCCAGCTGTCTTCAACGTATGAATGTCCTCTGGCCGGTTTCTGAAGGAAATATTCTCTCCCGGACATCTGCGAGGCGCACTTGGATAGTTTCTAGCTTACACCGCCTGTTCAAAATACTGTGTGTACAGGCCAACTACACTAACAGACATGTCATGGGCTGCAAACCAAAGGTGGCTTCAAGGTGCTTTCAGTCAAACGGCTGACTACCAATATCACCACCTATATAAAGCTACAGACAATAAATAGAACGCATTTTAGGAGTTGGCTAGGGCTCAGAGGAATGACTTGGAGGAAATTGGCCTGATTCTATTGCATTGGAAGGAGATTTGGTGTGTATTGATGAGTATGGCGAATAAATAGCTATGGAATGAAACCCCATGACTAAATAATTAGTGTACGATCCCCTTGTATAAGGATACCCTTGCTAGTCTTACTCATACCTCTGGTTAAGCATAAGTCAGGTCGCTCGAGGTGAAATAATTATCGTAGCGAATGTACTGGGGCAGTCTGACAAGTACTATGCCTCCCCTTGCCGAGAAGATAATATATTGACGTATACTCTTTAATAATAAACTAGATAGACTCTTAATTACGCAGAATATTAGATAAATAGAGAGCGCAATTATTAATCTCGAAAACTTACATTGCCTCTTGTGCGGCCAAGCTTATAAGAATATTATAATAGGTTAGTTTCTTAATAGTTACTTATAACGAGAATCTTTGAATTACTATAAAAACTAGACATTTACGTAAGTATGCTCGGTAGGATATTACTTATAATACGTTAATAAATAGACGATAAGAAAGTATATATATAATAATATAACTACTAAAGAATTATAATACTAATTATAATATCTTTAAATAAAATAATATAAATTATATATTACAACCTAATACGCATAATAAGGCCAGGGCCTGCTCTATAGAACCTATAGCGGCTACTATATTATATATATAAAAACGACGGACTTAGGACGACCCCTCTCGGGATAGAAGAACTATAGATAAGTTACATAACTATAATTATATAATAAAATAAAGAACGGATATTTATAAATAAATAGGATATATAATTATAAATAAATAGGATAGACGACCGTTTAATAAATAGTTAAATAATAGTAAATAGAGATATTATAAAAGATATATTTAAAAACGAGACTTATATATAATATAGATTTAAACCGGGCTTAAAAATAGACTTTTTATAGTTTTTTTAATAATCAACTTAATATTAGATTTTATAATCGCTTTTAGCTATTTTTATTAAAAACCCCTTTTAATAAAACTATAATTAATTACTAAAGCCTTATTTATTTTATAATTTATAAATATAGTTTTAAAGAAGCTATTTACGATTAGCTAGCCGTAATATTATATATAACCTAGATAAAAAGTATTTAAAATATTAAAAGAAAAAAGAGCTTTTAAAATATAACTAGAGCTAGATATTTATTAAATTATTACCCGGGTAGTAAATTATTATAACCTACCTTTTCTCTTATATACTTAATCTAGCTAATTATTATATATAGTAGTTTTTTCCGGCTTTATAGACGTAAAAGATCGACCTTAACGGGATTAGGCTTTTAAAAAAAATTATACAATATAGTATACTTTTTAATTATATAATATATATAATATACCCTAAGTACGCGCTTAACTTAATATAGTAATTTTAATACGAAAACCGCTATATAATTCGGGATAAATAAGCTGCCCTTTACGTAGCGGTAATAACCGGAAAGTATTACGACCTAATACGCATAACTAACCTAAAGACTAGCCTACTAGCCACGGTAGCTAAGCGCACTATATATATAAATAAAACAGGGACACGACTACTCCTCGCAGAATATAAGAACTATAAATAAGTTACGTAACGATAAAATAAAATAAAGATTATTCTAAATTAAAATAATTTAATATAACTTAAGAACTAAACGATTATTATAAATTAAATTAATTAAAAATAATCTAAAAAATAAAGGATATATTTAGGAACGAGACTTATATATAATATAGATTTAAACCGGGCTTAAA